GGTCTGCTCGAATGTTCTCTAGCACTGCTTTATTACACGATTTTAATTACAAATTATGAAAGTCAATTTTATAAAAGTCATCATCGTCAACAAGCTAGTCATCTATTTTTCTTTTCAATTTCACAGATGATAGTCACATCAGAATCAGAAACGCTCGTTTTACAGCGCAAATGGCAATTATTATGGCAGGTAATCTGTACAAAGGAGCTAAAAATTATGGATAGGTACCTTCCTATTACTATACTCGGAATTTTAATTCCATTCCAGATTTGACAATTTCAGTGTTGCAACGTTATGACACGTAATAAATAGTGACGTTGCGAAATTATTCGATATGGAAATCGAATATTTCTGAATCGATTTCTCTCGTTTATAAATTTACTCTCGTAAACTAAGTTTATCAGGAAATAAAATATTTCTGAAACGATAATTTAGTTTTGACAATTAATTAACGATCTGAGACTTTTCTTTTGTAATTGTGTGTGAAATTAATAAAAAATATGATCATGAAGGAACATGACAGATAAAACAGAATTTTTTTAAATTGTCGCCGTCATAGCTATCGCTATCGCTGTTACTTTCTGTAAAATTTATTATGAATTGTGTCTGTGATTTTTATTGTCAATAAACATATCTAGCTTACTCATTTTTTCCTCTTCTTTGACAACATGGGATACGCATTTAGACCATTCGGTAGCTGAAATTTTTTGAATGCCTTCCTGAATCTGATTCACTGATTGTTTATCGATTTTTGTGTTCATCACTACACTGTTATATGTGGTATCATTATTTCACAAAATGACAATAGGTCATGTCAAATCAGGAATCGAATTAAAAGTCTGACTATAGAACAACCCTTCAGACAATTACGTATTTTGACATCACCGTGGAACTTATACACAAATAGTGAACAACACAACTACAAATGCCAGCCATAAACAAGTTTTGATATAGACATCCGAACTGGGTACCGTAGTTTATAACAGGGTAGAGTTCATAACAAAGTTTCCTATCCAGTTAAAACTAGCGGACAAAATTGTTCAACGATCACAAAGCTTAAATTGAATTTGGTTAGATCAATTCGAACGTTAACTATTTTTAGAACTATTTCAAATCACAAATAAAGAACTGAATGCAACCACCCATTTGATTAAATCTAACTAACGTTTTAGAACAAAATATTCGTATATTAATTAATACATATCTGTCTTCTTTCCGGGATAAACAGAGCTAATGTTATTATGATGTTCTTATATTGGTCTCCATAAGGAACAGCAGCGCTATTTTCCGGTAGGATAAGAATTCGAAATAAAATCGGCGATGAAGACATTTACAAAAATAATGCAAACTAATATTGTTTCCTTCTGGATTAAGCGGTAATTTGATGTAATTTCCTGGCCATTTATTTTGTTCTAATGGACCATAACGACGAAGTGAAAGACTCACAATTTTAAATCTAATACTTTTTTCTACGTACTGTAATACCAGGTGAAATACAAAAAGGGGCCAAAACATGAGAAACCACAGTGGTGCCTAATGGTAAAGCACCTTTAATGCGCGCTTCCAAATGAATTTCTATGCTAAATTCCATTTTCGAGAAACCTCAAAGGGTTTAGACGTTGAAAACTGAGAGAAAAAAAATATAAACGAATGTAAAAACGTGGAAAACGGTGAAATATTTTATGAACGCTCTCGTAAGTACTCGATTCGATATGAACGCCGCACAAGAACCGTATAGGTAGGTATGCACCGCGGTGAGCCACAAGCTGCCTCTTTGCTTTTTAGCCATTAAATACTTGAAAAAGGCAGTAATAACTGAGATTCTTGACAAATGTCCAAAAGTCGTTCCTTTGTTAAATCACAGGTCGGCAAACAACCAGAAGGATTACCTGATGGTAAGCAATCAGCGTTGCCCATGGACACTAGTAATACCAAAGGAGTTACTACAAGTGCGTTGCCTTGAGGGTTATTAGGTATTTTTGTTGTTAATATTTGAGAATTGGGCCCAAGCCATTGGGCCTCCGGTAACATCTCAGACTGCGAAACAACACGTAAGTATTGCTTCACGCTGGTTTTCTGTGAGCGCTTAGTATCACTCCGGTCGAGCCGACCCATTTGTACCGAAGCAAGACTTTTCCAAACTTCACACAGTCGTTCGTCTATTATTTATTTTATAGCTACCACTAGCTAGCCCTAGCGTCGAGGATTCTATGCACATCTTCAAAATAAGAATAATGATACATATGATCAAGATAATCAAAGGACACATGACATACAAGGTAACGTTATCAATAGTAGAATACATTGACAATACATAATGCATTCTCGTTGTTATGAACTTTGTCAATATGTTAAGTGCATCCGTTGCTCGGAGTCACTTCGAATACAAACTAGTACAAAATTGCATTAGCTCCAGACCAATATTGTATATCCAAGCGGTTTCTATTTGACACAAGTATGCATGGTCACGATATTAATTTAACTTGCAGACAGTTGGCAATTCTTTGCCCAGCTCTGTCTTTGTCCAACAAACTATGTGAGAACATGCTAATTTTAAAATTTCTATTTCTTTTGCAATGTCTTGGAAAAATGTTTTTAAATTGGCAAAGTTTTTACAATTTCACTTTTAAAAATCAAAACTAATATATTTTAATAAAAGAGTTTAAATAGTTTGGAATTTTCTAAGATAAGTATTTATAACAATTTTATTAAATGCTTACTTTAAATTAATGTTCCAATACTTTGCGCATTTATCTAAGTTGTTGAGTAGAGTTAGGTATCCATGAAATTGTATCAATCCAAAATACCATCCATCATAACTATAAAAACTATCAGTCTGATAGACAGCTTAGATTGACCAATACGATCTGTTATGTCGGTCTGTATCTGTTGCCAAATAAAAACAATAGATTTAGAAAAAGGCTAATTAATAAGTACTAGAAGACGATAGCATTGTGAAAAAACCCTTTCTTACACCATAGTACACATATAGGACGTTCAAATAGTACATTCTACAGAAATTTTATCCATGTACCTTTCACTTGTCATTAGCATAATGATTATTTTCAGAATATAAACCCACAGTAAATTTTACAACTGCTGCAAAATGTGCACCCGATAGTCTGACGGTGTCATCCAAAGGTTCAATCACTGTAAGTCCTCGGCTAAGACAACGTTAAGCTATTAATTTTCGTAATTAAATTTGATCCTACAGACGATGAGATTTACTTTGACGTCTAGACGTAATTATCTTTTAAACAGTTTCCTTGCAATTTCATTACCCTCAAATCGTTTTACATTTATCCAACCGAGAGCTTTAAAGATTTTACTAAAAGGTGTAGGTACTGATAAAAGATTTACTAATAATCTCTTAAAACATAAAAGACGCTAAAATTAGGATTTTTCTGAATGACGTCAAACTGAGATTGTGTGGGCACATACAAGTAATCCGGGCATCCGAAATCAGAGCAAGGCTGGACAGACGTGAAAAAAGACTTCAATATAAAAATTACAATATCGAATAAAATGAACACGATAACAATTAAGAATGTATATTTGAATAAAGCAATATAAATATTATTTAAAAGCGTTAGTACACTTAAACAATTTTCAACTCGATGTGTGTTCTGTTATGATAATTCGAACACTTATAAAAAACGAAAACGCTTAAGAAAAGTTTGATGAACGTCTAGACTTTACACAAGCCATATTATTATAAGTATTTTTTTCTTTTAAGAATGAAACCATTAGAGCTCGTGTAGATTTTATACTCATCCGTTTTTCATTAGAAATGGTTTCATTAGCAATGAATCAAGAAACTCGTAAAAGTCTTCACAGACAATAAAACTGCTATGGCAGATGGGAATACAGTCGTGTCTAGAAAGCCGCAATCAATCCTATATACATATGCTAATAACAGACCTCATACAACTGTCCATAACTGACGGCATGTCACTCTTTCTTTCTTTTTCCTTGACGCAGTTTTTCACACAACGAAAAGAGATAGCTATAGTTATGTATAACAACTTGAAACGTCTGTAGCGCATCCATCTCAGTACTGCAGTGGCACAAACTCGTTCTTGAAGCTATAAATCCTGATTACGAACGAGTGACTTGCATTCAAGTGCAAATTCCAATTTCGATTTCTTATTGGGAACGTTTTTGACACCACTGTGGCTGATAATCTATGGTCAATTAACTTTTACAAAGGACTTCTTAAATGGAATTAGTAATTAAAGTTATACATTATTTTAATAAAAACTAAAACCAATAGTAGTCTACCTACACTATGCACAGCATTGGTAAAATCAAAAGGTCGTCCTATGCTTATCAGTAAAGTTGCTAATTTAGTTTTGTTCCACTTTCGCGATTCTTGGAGCAGCTTTCCGTGGGACACCCCAGAGGCGAATAGTTTATTCAAAATGTCAACCAATCGTTCCCATTGGTCGTACTCGTCTAAGTGTTTAGGTAGAAGCTGGCCTCAACTTTTAGATCGGTGAGCGAAAACAAACGTCTCCAGAGACCCTTAAGCCAGCCATAAGTGGTCGTATATAAAGGAAGTATCCAACCCCAAATGAATTAGATAACATATCCCCACGTGTATAAAAAATGGAGCACAAATAAAATAAAAATACAACCAAGAAACTATGATAACGTAAAAAATACATTTGAATAAAAGTCGGATGGTGCTTATTCGTAACCTAATCTTGGCAAACAATAAATTCAAGAGGCACTATCGAATATTTGTTCAGTAAAAACTCTTTAAACATAGGCCACTAGAATGTTCAATAGCATTTAGAAGTGGAAACATTTTTAATAAATTGTAAAACATTGGATATTTAGTTCGACCTAAACCTCAGCCTAAGTAAAATGATATTTCGAATGCCAATATTATGAATTTACTGGTAAATGGAACGTATTGATCAGACATCAATTGCATTTTTTTGTCTACGCCTAGGCCTATAAGTACTTATAAGGAATACATTTGTTTCAATACTGACCTTCCATTTTGAGGATTAGGTGATGCTCTCTCTCCTTGCACCAGGAACAAAGACCCTCGATCCGCGTCCAATAATATTGATACGTTTTGGAGGATCTTGTGACACAGCACTCTTACTTCTAGCTCGTTGCAGATGTCCTTTACCTACGACAAAAAGAATGGAATATTGTAGCCATGTATTTGATTTTATGAAAAAAAGACTTTTCATTGGCCTGTCAGTTTATTTTGAACTATTTCCCGCTAATATTTTTGACAACGTTTTAATGTGAACTAAGCAATATAGATACTATCTCACACGACAGGAGAAATTTGGGTTGATATTTTATTTTTCAAAACTAATATTATTATTTTTGAATATTCTTAAAATGTATCCTCCATTATTGATTCAGATCAAATAGAGTTTTAACATAGAAACACGAGTGACGATATCATAATTATTGTAGAAGATGATGATGCTTTATTTATAGACTTGTGTAATAAGAATTCTAATATTTATATGACGATATTTAAACAGATTGGGAAGAAAGAAGAATTCTTTATTAGCTATTACAATGGTCGGATGGTTGATGTCACTGCTAATCTTCACAAGACTTTCTCGCATACACTACGATCACACGGCTACATCTTTGCTGTAATACCTACCACAACTTATACAATAAACTTTCCCGTTGAATTCGTACCAGGATAAAACTCAAATAAAACTAGTGCAAACTAGTTTAAACTGCAAACCCAGTTTCATATCAATGAATAAAACAACACAAACTCCTGGCACTCGGGGCATAAAAATTTTGGAATACAACCATTGCGAAAGTCAGTTAAAAAAACTTTATCTAGATTCAAGAATATGAGCATGGATACAAATCCGTCTCTTTCGAAGCCGATATAGAGCTCTTGTACTTTACGATCATAGACAAAGTTTGGCTATAGTGATAATACAAGCCTCAGTAACAGTAAAGAAGTTGCGAATTTTCAAATCGTACGCGTTATTTTAAACAAAGCTTGACAAACAAATTATCACTACAAAACAGTAAATATAATGCAGAAATTTTAGTATCAACCTCCGCAATACACTTAAAACTAACAAGTTTTAAAATCTAAAACTTTTATACGATTATTGTGTACCACAAAAAGGATATAAATTTTCGTCGGGGACGTCAGACCGACGTCAAGATGCAATAGAGGGATGTCAACAAACCCTGTCCACCCACGTAACATCCCAACTGGAAGGTTTCGCTGAAACTAGACGGCGAATATGATTTCCGAACTAATTTCCGCCAAGTATTTCTGTTGGCGTCGTCAATTTACTGAATCCACTAATACATTTCGTAAATATATTTTTTATTCGCAAAGGAAATTATAATAATCCTGCCTTCTTTAAATGGGACAGACGTTCCACATAGGCAACCCAATTATGTGATGAATAAACATGACCTTGAACTAATAATGCAGAATACAATCTCATGACACAAGGTCACCTATTTACTGGAATTTATATTATTAAATAAATATCAGTTTAAAATGTTTTTAACGACTGATTCATGCATATAATTACTATATGCAGATTCTGACCTTGACATGCATATATTACGCAGAAAACGACATTTATTTTCCTCCATAACAATGTAAGCCAACGATAAAACGTCTTTTTAGAACTCGGCAAATTTTCATATGACATTAATAAATTCCCCTCTCCACCCGTAGCCGTCTCAATTAATACGTACATGAAATGATTAATTATAGTCAATTTGGGTCGAACGTGATGCTCTAGTAATCTGAGTCTCCCAACCAAACATTTAGGTTGAACAGGAACTTCGTTTAATAACTCAATCGGGAGAGTGATTTCTGAATGGAAGTATGGAAGTATGGAAGTATTTGCACTGTGTAGGCGTCCGTTTACGTACGAAAAAGCCTATTCTTTCTTAGTAAATACACGATTTTCGGCATGGTAAGAGGGTAATAAGATCATATTGTCCGATCTACAATTGGAGCAGAAAATATTGAATAACTATTCAAGATGTTTTCATACTTATTTCGCTTTAAGATCTTGTTGATTCACACTTGTGGGTATTAAAAATTTTTTTTTATGTAATTGGTCGGCAAACGAGCAGACGGATTACCTGATGGTAAGCAATCAGCGCCGCCCATGGACACTCGCAACGGAGGAGTTACGAGTGTGTTGCCGACCTTTTAGGGATTAGGGATTTGGAGATTTAGGGATTGAGGGATTGGGGAAGGGGAAGGATTGGGCCTCCGGTAACCTCACTCACACGGCGAAACACAACGCAGTGGTTATTTCATGCCTTAGACTTGATTCGGTAAAGGGTTTCTTTATCGTACAATAATCGTCTCAAAAAGAGTTATATAAAAAACTGCATAAGGATCAAAATTGATCGGTAAAGAGTCTAAAACGGCATCATGAATGGTTACGAGTACGCTTACTTATCTATAATTTGCAGATATACGGCTCTTTAGTAGACGTCAGCGATCATCAATGAATGCGCTATGAATATTCACGGTTCTCTCACACGCGCGTTGCCAAGTAGAGCTGTTTATCTAGTCGTTCAGTAAAACTGCCTTTATACGAAAGGAACCACGTCAAAAGAACGCAAATCAAAAAATCATAACACAGAGATGTTCTGATTCTAGCTTCTGAAGGAAGTTGGAAATTACATTATCTTCCAAAGAAAGGGTCAATTCATAAGGTCAAGTTGATTTTCCAGACGAACACAGCTCATGAAAAGATTGAGGATAATCTCAATTTACCTAGTTTATCTTGCATCTGAACGTGCACTAACACGCTAAAACGATATAAATACCAGCAACATAGAACATTATGAAATACTGGATCAGTCATTTAAGGTTTAATGGCCTCAAATGGAATAATTCATCGCTCAATTTCATTAGTATGTCCCTTGTTTGAGAAGCATCGGGTGCATGTGTACCGGAGCGTATGGCGCCCGTTTATCAAATGCGGGCGAGCAGTCGGCAGCCGAGAACGCAGAAACAAAGTTACTGGAAGCGAAGTACGTACAGCTTTTACGAAAACCAGACGTGGTCTGCATAATTCAGGTGTTGGTAACGCGCAATAATGTTAACTTGATTGACGAAAGAACGCTACGTGATAATTTTATTTACGAGCCCCCGATAAGGTGACAAGACCGCGTGGCGGGGAAGGTATCTTGAGTGGGTGTGATAACAATTCCAATCAGAGTAAGTTGTTGTACGATTGTTATGCAATTAATTTTGCTAACACGGCTTTATGGCTTTCAAGTATTAATAAAATTCTATTACTATCATCATCATCATCATGAGCCTAGAAATGCCCACAGCTGAGCAAAGGCCTATTCTCACACGGAGAAGATTCGAGCTTTATTCACCACACTTGTCCAAGGCGGATTGGCGATCTTAAACTCATAATTAGTAAAAGTCAAGGTTTCCTCAACATGTCTTCCTTCACCGCATGTCAGTGGTGTCTAAATAATCATAGAGAGTAGACACATATAACTCGGAAAAAGTCACATTGCTACTTTCCAGGTTTCGAAACTAAAAAGAATTTGCACCCGCATGAGAAGCGGGGGCCGGGACACTATCTATTATTAGGTATAAATAACTCTAAATAACTGCTTAACGTTAATAGTTGAAATGAAAATTTCAGTGAAAAGAAACGTAATATAATGTCATTTCCATTGAGCTATGGCTGTGGGCTCAAGCGGTGTGTTTACATGTAATTATCAAGTCGGGCCGCTGTTTTATCGGAATTGACCTCTGTGCTTGTCGGTGGCGAGCCGACAGGGGCCTAATTTAGGTACACATGTAAAATGACACCCGATTGTTTCGTAAATTAACTTTTGATTGACGTCACAACGGGTTAACGGTATCCTGAAATGTCTGCCGTATTATCTAATAGCTATTTGATATCTGTATTTCAACACGATGCCTACAATACTTCAGTAAACATTTATTTATCTATACTAATATTATAAAGAGGTAAAATTTGTAAGTTTGTATGTAGGGGGTAATCTTTGGAACCGCTGGTCGGATTGCCAGAATTCTTTTACTGATAGATAACTACAATGTTCCTGAGTGCTATAGGCTATAAAACATCACTCTAAGATCAAATAGAGCTGAGCAGGGGGTGAAACCGCGCGACAGTAGCTAGTTTATTTATAAGCTTCATGCACAAAATATATTGTACATTAACCAACCCTTTGGGTGGCGCAGAAATAAACTAGTGGAAGGCACGTATCAGAAAGAGACGAAAAATATAACAACAAATATAATATTTCTTTACATTGAACTGATGATTAGCAATTAACAAGCTTGTATTTATAGGTATTGGAGTACCAAATTCTATAAAATAAATGTAAAACTTTAACTAAACAATAACAATATTTATTAGGCCAATCCTTATCAACCATTACACATAAGTATGACTTATATATTCATAATGTTCTTTAATAGTATTCATGAAAAAATTTTAAACATGTAAGCACAAACTAACTTAATATAAAAATACTGATTACGCATTTAAGTAATCAAAATCGTTCATTTCATACCATAAATCACTTGAAGCGTAGCACTAAATTAAAACAAAGAAAATATATTTCATCTTGAAATGGGAACAAGGCCAATTCTTTGAAAAAGGGTAACTAAAGAGATAAATCAATTTGTACAAAGCCTTTTCGTCCCTTTAAACTGATTTTAGCTTTCTCTTCTATATAAAAATAAAACGCCTACATGAAAGAAAAAAAAAACAGAAAATAAAAACCAGCTGCGTGCTAATAATAATAAATGTCTATTGGGAATTCTTTAACTGATTTAAGATTTTATGAATTGAAATATAATTAATTAGAGCTTTAACGATAACTATATATATATACCTGTACTTATAGCTAGCATCTTACCAACTTTAATGGAAAACTAGCTATTGCTACCGGCTCGGCTTAGGGAATTCCCCTTCTCGTGTTCGGCTGATTGTTTTTTTCTTTTTGTATGTTCACTGATTACTCCGCCATTTACGAACCGATTTCCAAAATTCTTGTTTAGTTTGAAAGGTTATTTATTTAGAACACAGAAAATAGGGAATATTTTTAATACGCAATTGTAGGTAGACCTTGTAATTATGTCTTACTATTTGGGATGTTTGTGACTCTTTAGTGTAAAAACTACTAAACATAACTATTAGCTGTAGCAGTAGCCGCTGACAGAATCAAATATAATTATAATATCATTTAGATGCTGTTTCACAAAAACCGAACACATACACATAACAATAAAAAAGTAAATATTACTTCAAATCTGGCTAAAAGTAACAAATTAATTGTAGAAACCACTGGAAACGATTAGGGAAAGTGTAAATACTAATTTATTGTGTCACAATTTACTTTAAAATAGTTTATCCAAAATACTTAATTTTGCATACATAAAAAAATACTAAACACCTATGTACAATGAAAACAATTTATTCCTTTTAACCATCTATTGATTTATGACAACGTTAAATTTTAAGCCAGGGCAAGTTTATTATTTATAAGTAAGTATGTATTCTCCGTACCAGAGCTGAGTCTACAAACTGCATACTAAAGCAACTGGCACAGACAATAGGATTTTCACTAACTGAATTTTACATTAAACTGCTCAAATCAGTGTCCTATTTGTGTTAAAAAAACGTTTAGCATTTTATGATATATACCTAAAGTTAAATTCTCAGCCTCTTTTTTGTCAGTAACTAGCTACTCTTGCGCGGTTTTACCCGCTGCTCAGCTCCATTTAATCGTAGCGTGATGTTTTAAAGTCTATAGCAGTCAGAAACCTTGTAGATATCTATCAGTAAAAGAATTTTGGCAATCCGGCCAGGCAGCGGTTTCAAAGATTACCCTCTACATACAAACATACAAACTTACAAATTTTACCTCTTTATAATATTAGTATAGATGGGCTGGCGTTTGGCCTTTTCACGCCTGGAGGTAAGCGATTATGCGACCTACGAATACACGCTCATAAGTAACCTGTTTTCTCAAACCTTAAAGACACCCAGTTCATGCCCTTTGGGGAAATAGTGATAATACAATGTTATAGTAGAAATATAAATACAATACTTCTGTCTAGATTGGTCACCAATATGGGCCTCTAGCATGGCTTGAAACTAGTCGAGTATCTCGTCAAATTACTATGTGAGTAAGCCGAAAACATAATAATTAATTTAGATTTCACCAGTTTAGTTATCGCGGTTTTTGAGATACAGACAGCCTGGACAGACAGACTGCCAGATGGACGGATAGCTATGTCAAAATAATAGGTTTCCAAGTACCAAACCCTAAAAAGTTACTGCACCATTGTACAGTACGGTATTACAATATTTTTATAAGTGCGTATACTTTGTTAAGTAAATAAACAAATCGATGTAAATTAAACGTTAATTTTCTCAGCTGATTCAAATGAACAAATTATACTAACTTAAAGTATTTAAATTTAAAATGCAAGCGAATTAATGTCTGAATTTATTCGTCCATTTAGTTTGGCTGAAGTCTCAAGAGCTTAAAAGATCAAGACAGTGACACTTATAGCAATTACTTTTAAATATAAAAAAAATCAAACAATAAAAAGAAACTAAAATCAAAGAAGCAGTTTCAAATCTTTACGTCAAAGCTGTATATTGGCTTAGTTAACAGTAATTAGATTGCAAATAGATTTTAGATTTATTTTATTAGTTTCTAATATTAGGTCTAATATCTGTAACCTTTAAAAAACACACATAATTTAATAATATTAAGGTTGATAATCGCTAATTGCGCGTCAAAAAGTCGCGACTTTTCTATATCTTTTCTATTTCTCATTCTATGCCAACCCAACCTACCACAGAGCACTCTATCACAAACTCCTTACTACAAACACACATCATCACATCATCAGCCTATAAGTGCCCAAAAGGCTTCTTCTCATACGGAGAAGGTTTGAGCATCAATGCGATTTCAAACGTATAACTAGAATTTTAGAGTCGTAAAAAAGTAAACGTATAATATAAAGAAAATAAATAAAGAAGTTAAAAATTATAAGTGAGCTTCCTAACGATGTTTTCCTTCACCGTCTGTCAGTGGTGTCTAAATAATCTTAGAAAGTACATGCAATCCGTCCGTATTTTCTTTAGTCATCTAAGTTCATGCATTTTCTAAAACTATGCAGAGAAATATCGTTAGCCCATAAAATGTGTAATATCAAAAGCGATTTTCTGCACTCGTCACATTTTATTAAAAGTGGACTGTGCATTGCCAAAAAATTTACACTGCGATTAGGGTACCTAATGGAGTAGAATTGCGTTTTTCGACACCAGTGAAGAAGTCAGCTTAAATCGTAAAATGGGCGAAGCGCTTAGATATTTGCTATTGTTTCTTGAATCTTATTTGTACAACTTACGCACGAAATGGCTTATACAAGAGTCTATACAGCGCGCAGGCTTTATACGCACAAACGCACATAAAAATCTAACATCATGTATATTATTTGACAAATACATACAGTTTGATAAAAGAAAAAAGTATCACGATGTATAATATAAGTAGTATGGCACCAGTCGTATCTAACTAAATAATAAAATTTCGAAGATGAAACAATTATCACCAATATTAAATTAATATTGATGTTAACATGGACACAAAAGACAAATACTCAAAACTGTATTGGAAAAACCACTTATTAACAATGATTTGACATTTATTAACTTTTTAAATTTAGAAAATAAACAATATATTTCCGTCTCCAACCAGTGATCGACCGATCTCTCGTGATGGCTCGAGCGTTGCTTAAATAGATTTTGGTGATTTTGGTGCTACCGTACCTTATGTAAAAAAGAAAAAGATACTTACTAATTCAAATATAAGTTCCTTTTCGTCCAGCTGTCTCAGTTCATGCCGCGACCTCCGCTGCGGCCGCGAAGGTGTGGCGTGAGGAGGCTGGTCTCCAAGGAAGGTAGGTGTGCCATCTACCGTCGTCACCAACGGCTTCAGAAGACCACCGCGCTCAAACTCGTGCGCTGAGATCTTTCTGTTGAATAAAAAGGATGTTTTAGTTTATTATTAGTAAAGAAATTTAGAAAGATTTTTTTTTTGTGTGATAGGTCGAGCTGACGGATTATCCGATGGTAACCAATCAAAGTCTCCTATGGACACTCGAAACACCTAAGGATTTACAAGTGCGTTGCCGGCTTTTTTGGGATAAGAGTTCTGGATATTTAAGGAAGGGAAGAGATGGATAGAGAAGGGGAGGGATTGGGCCTCTGGTCTGGACTCACACGGCGAAACTCAACGCTGTAGTTGTCCTAAAAAGTCATAAACTAGGTCGAAAATCAGGCCTTTTTTGAGGAGAGGATTCATTGAATGACTTTTTTCAAATTGGGTGGGGTAAAAGGTGTTAGACTCTTACTGACAAAAACCTCCACGTTCCTTCTTCTGCTCCGCGCTGGGGCTCCGTTATTGTATTTGCAACCACAACCCCGGCTGAAACAGTCCCTTAACGTCCCCATTATATCTATTTAAAAGTTAGTTTCGAAGCGAGATCTACTTTTAGTACCTTATTAAAACTTCGCCTAATTCACGGCGGGAAGGTGAAAATCTATGTGGGTATAACATAATAAATATAACTGTATATTAATATCACGATAATATTTCAGAAAAGTTTAGTTTGGAAGTTTTCGTTTCAAATATATTATGAGTATATAAACTCTTTTTTGCTTTCGATGATTATGCTTGAGAAACTTATTGAATAAAGTTTCTTCACGACCAATTAATGTGGTTCGTATAACCAATCTATGGTTGTTATTATAGATGCTATTTGTATGGAAAATTTCTTATGAAACCGCTAAGAAATTCATGGAGTATGTACATTTTAAATGATCGTATTAGGTCGTACTAATCGCCTTCATTCGACGCTTCTGCGAGGCAGAAAAGTCACCATACATTACGCGGGTATTAACGCGAAAATATCTAAATACTTTGGTAGTCTGCTTTCTACCACGACCTGTGCAACCAGGTCGAAACGTCAAGCCTATCCAGGTATTTAGATAATTATTTTCGCGTTAATACCCGCGTAATTTATGTTGTAAAAATGAAACGCGAAAGTTTAAAAGTTAAGTACAGAAAAATCACATTTATATGAAAGCAAAAAATAAAAAGAAAATCGACGAAGTACCTAACAACAGCATATGTATCTTAGAAAGTTCAATAACGGTGAATATACAAATCGAATATTATAACTATTCTTGTACAATACACAATTAATTTAGTTCAATATTTGTCTTGTCGCAACACGTCTCACTTAATTGAAGCTGTCGATTGTATTGAGAACAACATTTATTACATTTAATTTAATAACAAAGGTCACTGGAGGGCTTTTGAAATAATCCATCAAAATTAATTTCGTCCAGTTTCATGACATATCTCCTAAGTCCATTTTGGCGATAGTCCAATTTACTAATTGCTGAATAGATCTAGCTTGCTCTTAGTTTTAGTATTAAAATTATAAATAAGCCTAATTGTATCATGCTTTATGTTTATTTAAGTAAGTGGTATTAAGTTACTCTTCACATATTTATATTTTAAAACAGGCGTGATGAATGAGCATATATTTCTCAAATCTTTTTATCAGTAAAATTAAGTTTATTATTTTTGTAAATCCATTGCTGAAATGGAATATGATATTATTAAAACTGCGGCTTGTTAGTGAATTTTATTGTTTTAAAGTACAAATGTAGATATGTTGGTAGTCTTAGTTTTCATCTATACTAATATTATAAAGAGGTAAAATTTGTATGTTTGTAAGTTTTTAAGTTTGTATGTAGGGGGTAATCTTTGGAACCGCTGGTCGGATTGCCAAAATTCTTTCACTGATTGATAGCTACAATATTCCTGAGTGCTATAGGCTATAAAACATCACGCTACGATTAAATGGAGCCGCGGGTGAAACCGCGCGAGAATAGCTAGTTAGATATAATTAAATTCTGAACTGATTTTTGATAAGTAGAACATGACAAAAGTAACAAAAGAAATTATAGAGAGAAGTTTTCCATCTATTATTAGAATATTTGCAGCTTGAATGATGGTGGAACGGAGAACGTGTTATTATATATTGACAAATCATTGTCAACGAACTAGAATAGCCCGTTTGGTCAATTTAACTCTATGTAAAAGCAATCAAAATCGAACACCCAGTCAACACAGAGTTCTGCAGTTATTCAGGCATTGAAATCAAAATGTTGGCTATGATCTGAAATTTTGGTAACATTGCAAATCACGCCAACATTAATAGGAATGTCTTTGCTTGATGTATCAAACCTTTTTGCAACTGCTTGGTTTTAAAGTCAATATTTTTCTTTTAGACTGTTGATTGGCCTGTGCAGCATACCTACGTATTATATAGGTATAGGTACAATACATTTATGTTAATATTTTTTTTAAATAGCTGATACTATTTTCTTGTCCATATCTTCAATCAAAACTTAGGTTAACATAGCCTTATGGCTATTTATTGTCAGCCAGGGTTATCGGTGCGAGCGCAATAATATGCCACGGCCCCGGTCTGGAGCAGGAGAAGAAAAGGAGTGGTTCTAGTCAGTAAAGTCGAGTCGAGGGTGAGAGAAGCCATTTCATTTGAATTCACTCCTTCAGAAAAAGATACAATTTTATTACTATACTACAATTCTACTCTGTGCAAAAGAAAGAGTATAAAGTCAAGAATCTTACAGTTTTAAATAAAATCATTCCAGGAATTAACGAATAATCTCTTATTCTTTTTATGTAAGTACCGAAACTTATGTAACGATATTAAAAGAATCATATTATGGGTATGTTTAAAAGACTTAAATCTTTCCCAAATACCGCAAAACTTTTCTTGGAAAATCAAGTATTTTGTAAATATCACAAATAATAAAACACGGCATAGCAAATTCATTCAATTTTGGTCCTTGTTACTACTCAACAATACAGTCTTTTCTCATTTTAATACTTTATCCCACTCGCCTCGTCCCAAACTCAGTCAAACATTCCGTTTCTCATAAACCTCCACTCTACAGGGTGTTACAAGACTCTAATCCCACCTTTCTCTTGTTTTTCCTTAACATCGTACTTTACAAATATCCTCATCATTATGCATATAGGTTAGCGTTCAAATAAGTCCTCCTAATCTATGCGGAGGATGGTTTAGTTGTACCAGATAAAGACGCGATGACATAAGATTGATGAAGACTATCAGGGTGGATTTTGAATACTTACAGGAGGGGTGAATTTATTTCTTACAATAACATTTATCATGTCTGTTTTTGTAGAGATAAATATAGACACAAGTGTGTTGCGGTATTATTCGAGATAAAGCCTTCAGAGCGTTTTCTTAATAACTATACTTTTTAATGGATGGATTAGTTTTAGCATCTATGTTGCCATTGTCCTTGGTGGTTGAGCCTACTAGAAGACATCAAAAAACCAGTTGTATTATTATAATTAGAAATAATTAATTACTTTACACGTGGGCACGTTTTTATCCTAAATTATCATTTTTTATGGAATAAGAGGCTAACTAGCTGAATGATCACTGATGGTAAGAGATCTGCACTATCCATGGATATCTAAAACAACAGAGGAGTCACTGGCGGTTTGCCCGCTTTTTAAAACGGCGGAGAAGCGTTTCTTGAAGGTTGTCAAAATCTAAAATCGTCAATAAATAAATAAAAATTCACTTCACCAATATTTTCCTTGTAAAAGTATTCATTTACATTTACACTTGATGTGTGTGTACGGTGTTAATTCCGTTTCATTAATTATTTTTCCAACCCTTTAACTGTTGACAGTGTAAGCAATATTTGCTTTACCTAAACTAACGGATCGGATTTTTCTCAGCTGTGAACCGAGTTTATTTATTTAGGACCTGTTAACAGGAAGCTTCTGCTAACATTTATTCTTTAATGACTACTTCACCATTAGACGTGTAGTAATTATTCCTTTTGTTTAATTTAATTAGAATAGAGACTTAGGTCAATTGAAGCCTCGAGTCTTTTTTTTTGGTCTCGAGTCTTCTCCTCTCGCGAGAAGGAATGTCAGACTCTTACCGACTAGAAACTCCTCCGTTCCTTTTACTTTTTCGGGTTGCCTGCGCAACCCCGGCTGAAGCCTCAAATTTTGGTAACATTATTCAACTCAGTAAAATCTGCTAATGGGTTTTTCGAAATACGTAATCACATATAAGACATACATACCTACTAGGTAGGTATTTCTTATAAAACACCAACTATATTTGTCTCTCTTTACAACGAGATACATGGAAATGTATCTATGTATAATCATGTCCTTTTCTTTTGCTTTTGAATTGTTACATGGAAATGTAACAATTCAAAAGCAAAAGAAAAGGACAAGACTGAACTTGAAACAAACGAACGAAAACTTTCAAGACGAAATTCTAAAAATAATAGTCCTACTTTGTGAAAGAAAACCAAATTTCTTTAACAAAATCCCTTAAAACAATGATTAATAAGTGGATTATTTTACTAGCATGATTAATGGCTTTTTTTACTTCGTTTGACGTGATTAATTACATTGAAAAGAACAATCCTCTACCTACAAATAATAACGTACTTACCAAGAAATGTTGGCAGAGGGCGGTGAAGCTAATTTATCAAAAATGTTTGTCATTTCAGCGGTTCGCAAACAAAGCCTAATTCCCGATATCGGTCATTGTTAACATCATAATCCTTTCGGCTTCCTCATATTTATATTATAAAATGTTATGGGATACCCCAAGGGTCATATGGGTTACGTAACGTTGATACCGGATAGGTTGTGTAGGTGGATTTGTATGGGTTTGTGGGGAATTTTGTTAACCTTTACATTAAGATATTGTGATACCTACTATTATTTGTCTATTAGTGAAATTGTGTGTAAGTTAGATATCTAATTTACCTACTGTTTTGGTATTTAGGATAATAATGGTAAGCTTATTTATTTTTAAATATAATGATATTTGAATCAATGTGAAATAAACTCTATAACAATGGCTTAAGGAACCATAAAAATAAAAATCCATGTTTACCTGACAGGCGTTGTAGCTCCAGAGCCGGAACCGGCGCGCGACGGCGACGCGAGCTCGGCGCTCGGCGGCGTCGCGTGCGACACTAACCACGCATCCACCACTTGCCGCGTCGCTTTCCTGTTGACAATACACATTAACTTTATTATAAATTGGACTTTAAACTTTTTATCACAGCTCCTACCTTATTAAGCTACATCAAAATCATCACGACCCTTAGCTCGTAAACCTATCGAAATATTTTTATAGTGCCACTCATGGACCACAACACTCAACACTACAGAAGTCGCAAATGCATTGACGGTAGGATATTGAGCCTCCGTCAATCTACCCTATTCTGTCTAAATTAATTAGTCGATTAAAGTTTTCTTAATACACGCAGGTAAGAACAAATGTATTAAAAAGAACGTAACAGGTTCGCCAAAGCGACATGTTTTGTATTAGCTTACGATGCTGATAGCAATATTACTAGAGATAATGTACTGTTTAATAAGGGATATTATGAAACAGGTTACAATGGAAATTACAACAAAACAACTGCAAACTTTTGATTGTTTGACGCAGCTGTGATTGAAATATCTAATAATAAACGAGTTTCACATACTAAATAAAACTAAATAAAATGAAAATGAAAATGTTTAGATCAATAGTGGCAAAATACTAGAAAAAGACACAGGCGATATTAAAGATATAGTAGGTATAGTGACGACACACAATTTAGCATACAATTCACACGTTGAACACGTAGTACTGTTTATAAATACATTGATGTTTGTTTTAATAATAGTGGTAGCTAAACTTATTAGTTTAAGAGCACTATTTGAGACAATGATCCGATGTACACAAGAAATTCTGCTGAACAAGACTTCTAAAGGTACAACGAGAAAACACTTTGATAGGACTGGCCTGCTTTGGAGCGAAAAATGTGTTTGCATCTTAGGTTATATTCTCATGAAGTGGTTATAAGCTTTCTTAAAAAAACATATTACATGAAAATCTTTAATTTACAATGACAGATATCTACAGAAAATTGCATAAAAGAGTAATACAAAATCAATAACATTGAAAACAAGACTAAATTTGGAAACCTTTTAAATAACAACAAAAGATGAAAAATAACAATTCTCGTGTGCATTTTCAATCTATCCTTAAACAGAACCACACACTAGAACAAGACAAAGCTAAAACAAAAACATTGACAATGTTCAGAAACGTAATGGTAACGGAAACTTTGATAACAATAGTATTCATTTAAACCAGTTGACATAAACTAGCATCGCTGTAAATGTTTGTAGAGGACAGGAATATCTTTGCGCTAGAAACTAAGTGTAAAGTAAATACAGCTAAAGGAACAATAGGAACATTTGTATTCTAATACGTTATGATATTCAGTTGGGAGATCTTTACAATGTGTATCAATTTTTATAGGGCTTACAATAGATCTTCTTGTGAAGACTTGTGAATATCAACTGTGGTTTTATTATGTAAAGCAGTCAAATGACTCCACACGAAGGAATGTCAGACTCTCACTGACTAAAAACCACCCCAGTCCTTCTTCTGCTGGGCCGTAGCTGCGTTCTATTACTATCGAGCTTGTACCCGCAATCCTGGCTACCTAGCTACCATTTTTATACATTCTTTGTTTGGTTTATTTTAAAGCTAAATATTGTCATCGAGATGTTAACAATCCTTCAAAACCTGATAAACTGTGTAGACTTGAAATAAATAACATTACCATGTCGAGCTATGCTCATTAATGGATCTACATAAAAATTATACGAACTGTGCCCTGTTTCCTTTGTTTTCCAAATTATAATGAGTTAACTTGAACAGAGACAAAAGCACTCAGGGATAATAAGATTAGTCCTAACAAGCCTTTCAAGTATAAATGTTATTATAATAATTTCCATGTTCATTACAATTAGAAGGCAATCTTTTTGATGTCGTCTTAACTTTTCTAGTTGTCAGTCACGCCAACGAAATGATAGCTTTATGATGATTCATAATAAGGATCATCAGCTGAGTTTGCGTTTCAGAGAAACAGACTTAATAACTTCGCTTAGTATACCTGCATTATTAAATATCAATGCACTACGAACTGCGGCCACATTGAAGTCCCCGGAGAAGCTCAAAGTCTAAACTAGCAAGATGTTGTGAAAGCCGATATCAAAACTTGCAAACTACACTCTGAAGCAAGTCAGTTTGAAAGGCGGATCTTTGCATAAGACTGCAATAATGGAGAACAGGAGAAAATATAACAAAATACTTTAAAACTTTACACGATTGACGTCATAGATGGACAGATAATAAGAAAGACAAGATACAACAAATGAAGCAGTATACGAAATAAGAACGACGAACATATTAAACTAATAAATATTCAGCATGTTCATTCCATACGATAGGAGCTGTGACATCGTCCTTCCCATTTCCCGGGCATCGAACCAAAAGACAAATGGAAACTCTGCAATGTGACGATTTGTATACTAGAGTAACCAGAACAGAGTTGAACAATAACATACAGTTCGTATGTTTCCAAATACATTTCAATGACTCAGCAAGATTTGAAAATACGCTTCAATAGTATAAAATAGCAGTAAAATTTTCTTGCACCGTATCGCATTTTACAGTCAATTTGATTCTATAAAACTGCATTAAATTTTACGTAAACGCGACATTTAACACTATATGTAAGGTATTTTATATTGAACTTTATAGCGTATCTCGATAATCCTAATCGGGCTGTTAGGAGTTTTATGGATACTTTTAAGATAAATGATAAAGCATTACTATTTATGCAGACCTAATATCAATGCAAGAACCAGATAAAATGAATATTAAATACATTATTTTATATTTTCACTATAAGGTTTATCGTCCGTTAGTTTCATTTATTTTATTTGTTAAAAATCATATAAGCACAATGAGTAATCAGGTGTAGGTAAAATTCTGCACAGATTGATTGCTTTCATCCATCTGTAATTCCAGCCCGTTCAAATTGTTCTTAAATTCACGAACGAAGTCAGAAGAAATAGTAAGTGACTACTGGGTATAATTTAATTAAAATATTCCATTTATTTAATCCACTTTTATTTGTTTTAATACATCATACTCGTACTCCAGTTGAAATGTCTTATTATTATTCATATTGGACGCCAACAATCGTCGTAATTACTCAAGCCAATTCATCCATTCATAAAACTAATCAGTGTGGTTATATTTTAAACGTTTTATGGGCCATTTAAGAAACTACAGAAGCAATGTCGTTATAAACTTCAATACACTTAATAGGTTCCAGAATAATTTGGTTTCATTGAGTTTTAGATCATGTTGAAGCTTCTTTTATTCTGTCATGATAGATAATCGACAAAATTTTGTGTAAGTACAATAACTTACATGTGTTTTGATACTGGACAGCTACTTACGACCTTCATCTGATCATGTGTCTTATGTCAGTGTAATAATCCAATCCATGCAGATGTTAATGGCAGGCCTAGTGTTTTATGCCATAGTGCAACGATCAATCTGGCGAACTACCTCATGGTAAGCAATCAGCGCCGCCCATGGACACGAAATGGGAGTTACGAGTGCGTTGCCAGCCTTTTGGGTGTAAGGGTTTTGGGTTTTAGGGATTTGGAAGGTATCGGGGTAGGGGAAGGATGGGGCTTCCGGTAGCCCCACTCGCACGGTGAAACACAACACGTGTGAGGGCGTCGTATCACTCCGGTCGAGCCGGCCCATTCGTGCCTTAACATGGCTCTCTCATACTCGCCTGTTTTCTACAGATGACGATATAGACCTCTAAGGCGGATATGATAATAATGATACATATCAGAGTGAAAAAGTTTTAGAATCAGTTTTTTGTTTGGAGAAATATGATCCTCCATCTTACCAAATAATGGCACAAAATAATCTTATCTATGATAGGTAAAACGATTTAATCTCGAACAAAAGAGGTATCATAAGTAGTGAGCACTTATATAATAATCTGATGCTAATAGAACACGTCTGGATGCTGTCAACTTAGATATAATCTCTTAATTGCTTCTCCAACTCCCACGGGAAATGGAATTGCGGTTTCGCAGAGAACAGAGAAACCGGTACGATCCAACGTGAAGCGGTTTATATTGTTCTATAAACGTCAAATGATGTAGTTGCAATTTTATACCTAGGTACATCAATGTTTAGCTAGTTTTTTGTATTTATAACTGTAAATATTTAATATTAGAATTTCGAACATCAATCACCAAATGATTAAATGAGTTACGTAACAGTTCGACGAGCTTACTCGACTAGTTTCAAGCCATGCGGGGAGCCCATAAAGGTGAATAGCATGCGTGACGTTCATTGCTTTAGATATGACTATAGTTATATCACAAAAAACGCTTAACAATACACAGTCCGATTTAAAAATCGAAACCAACGAACGAAACTTGACCAAAAGCGACAGTTATTGTTCTTATTACGTCTCTAACCGGAGTTTATGTGAGTCAGTTGAGAGTTTCCTACAATTTCCTCGTTCTCAAGTTTACTTGTTTTATCTATCGGAAGTAATTTTAAGAGAAAAACCGATATTACGACCGAAAAACCGGCATCGTTGAGGAACTCACGTTCTTCGGAGCATGGTAACACCTAATTAAAAAACATGGCGTCAATTTGTGTAAATGTTTTACGTGATATCATCAAAACGTGATTTATTAAGACAAAATAATTCATAAACAAATAAATAAACATACAGTATTGATAATTTGAAATAAAATTAAAGATTATTATTTGTAGAGACTTGGGAATTAATCTACTCAAGATAATAAGTTATGCAATGTGAATAATTTTAGGGTAGATACGACACTGTTGCTTGTACGGGTCATGGACGGTTCTGATAACTTATCTGATTAAAATATACACAATGAAGATCTTAGTAGTGCAATTATAATGTTCATTTTTCCATGCACTGTACTCTAATTTTCCGTCTTCTGCATAAGACTGTGAAATATAAAAATGGTATCGAAATCCACCTAAAAGTGGATAAGGTTTGGAAAACCTTTACAAATAAAACATTTTATTAGAAATAAACTATTTTAATTACAAAATACCCAGTCTTCATAGAGACCCTTAAGGAA